TGGGAGTCATTGACCTAACGCTCGCTACATGAATCTTCTAGAAAGCTTAAGAGATCAACACATTGCACCATACTTCCATCTTTGATCCTAAAAAAAAAAAATAAAAAAAAAAAAAAAAAATTTGAGTGAAAAGAATAAACGCACCTAAAACAATAAAGCTTTAATAAAAGGTCCACTTTTTGTCTTGATGATTGGGACTAGATTTGTATGCTAGTTTGAGGGTAAGGATGTGATTAATTCCTTAGTTGGCTAAGATAGCAACACACTTGATGCCAGACTACTCAAAAAAGGATTCTAGACTTGTTTCGATTTTCATGATCATTTTCTTGATGTGTGGAGGACCATACTTGCTTGTTTGATGTTGAGATTTTGGGAGATTGCTTGGAAATGGTTGAAAAATTGCATACTTGAGGTAGTTTTCTCCCAATGCTTGTTTGCAATATTGGTGCCTCTTTTGAAAGAATGAGCTTAATATTTGTGGGTACCATTTCTGGAAACCCTCACGAGACTTCACTCGTCCACTAGGGGTAACCTAGGGGTTTAAAATGCTTGTTGCATATGCTAAATGCAATCGTGTTCCCTACGAAAGTAGCGCTATCATTTTATTGCTTTCTAGTTCATAGTTGTTTAGTTGTTCATTTCTTTTCTTTACTTTGTAGTTCATTGCTAGGGACTAGCAATATTTAAGTTTGGGGGTTCGATGAGAGCTGAAAAGTACACATTTAAACCCTTTAAGCTTGAGTATTCTAGGACCTTTATCTATCTTATTTATCCGTTTTAGTACTTATTTGTGTTTTTATCTATTTCAGGTCAATAATGTTAAAATGGGCTAAAAATGAGTTCTTAAGGCCTTTTTGGAGTCAAACTAAGTCTTAGCGATGATCCGGAGCAAAAAGAGGCTGATTTGGAGCAAAAAGAGGCTGATACTGAAAAGCTAAAAAGTTGGATGGATCGTAGAAAAAGTTGGATCGATCGAAAATAAGTTGGATCGATTAGAAAAGTTGGATCGATCGAAAAATAAGTTGGATCGATCGAAAAAGTTGGATCGATCGAAAATAAGTTGGATCGATCGAACTGGACATGCTGGCAGTAAGCTGTCACTTTTTCTGTGCGCGCCCAAAAGTTCACCTACCAAAAAGTTGCGGGATTAGATATTTTTGGGCATATATCCTAGACTTAGTGACTAAGAAAATGACCTTCTTTATAAAGGGAAGCAACCCATTTGTAAAAGAGGATTTTTAGCTTTTATCATTTTATTTTCTATATTGTAATTTTTATTTTCTCTCTCTAGAAAAGTTAGAGATTAGGGTTAGAAGAAAAGAGAGAAGTGGAGGCATATCTCAAGAACACTTCTCTAAATCTACTATCTCTCCATCTCTAGAGCTTAAAAGAAGAAGAAGAAGAAGAGGAAGAAGAAGATGGAGCCATGTTTGGAGCTTGATTCCATAACTACATCCACCTCCTCCATGATTGACTAGATCTACACTTAGGGCTTGGATGAGCCCTAAGTCTTGTGTAATCTAAACCCTTGTATTTCTATTTTTGGGGATTTATATATATATTGTTGTGATTAGTGTTCTAGCCTTGTGAATTTCATGAATCTTGGTATATTTCTATGATTTCCATAGTCTAATTCTTCCTATTAATTCTCTAGTTTATTTACATGTCTATGTGTGATTAAATTAGGAATTATGTCTCACATGATTCATATGGGTTAATTCTTCCATTGATTCTCTATTTTAATTACATGTTGTCTTATGTGTGATTATTTGGGGAATTGATCTCTACACTAGTTTTTCTATATTAATTGCATGTCTATGTGTGGTTAATTGAGAATCTAGTGATGGCTAGACATTAGTGCTTAATGGAATGCTCTTGTTATGTCTCTTAATGGTTCATACTTATTCCTTAATGGATTATGCCTCTCCTTTAGTTTATTTTCATGCTGGTAGTGTAATTGTAGTGTAGTGTTAGATAGGGAGACAATTCATGCTTGTTCTTTGATGTTCCATATTTTTGAATGCAAGAAGCATATGCTCTAATATTATGGTGTAATGGAATTTTAAGCTTAATGAAGGATTAATGACTAGTTATGATATGTTGTATCTTTCACATGTGTTTAGACAATTTATTCCTCTCCCAATAGATATATTGTGGCCTCTCACATGATGTTTAGACAATACATGTTTAACTAAGTCATCCTTGTGAATTATTTGGACTATGAGCTTAATGAAATGTTTAATGACTTGATTTGATATTTTGTTCTCTTCACATGTTGTCTAGACAATATATTCCTCTTCCAATAGCTATATTGTGGCCTTTCACATGTTGTTTAGATATTATACACTTATTGAGTCACCTTTGCTAGTCGAACCAATTTTGTTCACAACAATGTATTCCCCATTAATGGAAAACAAGTGGTTAATTACATGAACTTAGTGGTGATTCGAACACCCTAAGTCCTCTCTTCTCATCTCTTAAATCCCTATCTCTACTTAGTTTTATTTTTATTGCATTTTAATTAATTCTTTTCTAGAAGTAATCAACCAACCCAACTCTCTTTTGCAATCATTTGGTACGCTAGAGTCGAAGTTGAAATTCCAACACGTATAATCCCTTGGGACGATCCCTACTCACTCTTGCTACGTTAGTAGTAGTGTTGGTAGTGGTTTTTATAAATTTAAATTTGACATAAAAGGCTTTTCTTGAACCACACATTCACTACATTTAGTTTGGCGTTTACAAGCGACCTCGTCACCTTCTATATCCCTAATTCTTAAAAGAATTGATATATCATGGTTAGTTCCATGGAACTTGCCATATGTCACTCTCTTATTGGTTTACAAACACCATTATCTCATAGACTCCATGCGGCAATAGGTGAGTAGTTACGTGAGTATTACTTTGAATAATTGAGTAAGGTTGCATTTATAGTAATATTTCCATTCAATCTTTATTTTCCAAATCATTAGGAAATTGTGGGACATTGATCCAGTGTGGCAAGTCTTACAAGACTCACCATATTCTTAACTTAAAGGACTCCATGTGGCGGAATATGATTGGCCTAATGGTCTTTGCCTTGGATTACTACGTGAAGTCATATATGTGCTTCAATATGACCTTCCTTTCCAAACTTGCCGAAATTGTGATTTAGTGTGGCAAGTTCCATTGGAATAATGGAACTCGCCACATGCATCCTCCTTATTACTAGAAAATTTCTCTCTTGATTTTCACCTCATGCGTGAGTCTATATGGCAGTATGATACAAAGTCAACTTTAATGTCTCCTAGTACCATAATATAATTTCCTTTTCAAATAATTAGGCAATAATCCGGTGTGGCAAGCCACATGTCGTCTTTCCATTTGTCCAAAAATAATGGGATAAACACCTTGGAATTAGAAATTATAGAATTGGAGAAAAACAATTCAGAAAATTAAACCAAAATTTTCGCCAATTCTAATTCCAATTCCAATTCGAAAGCTTCAATTCCATGCAACCATACACAGCCCAAACTATTAAAAAATTATTCTTTAAAGGTAAGTTACTTAAAGAAGTCAATTCCACTTGTATAGCCATGGTCCCAAAATGTCAAATCCGCACTCTTATGCACATCAAAGCTCATAGCCAACCAATTTCATCTCATACTGCCCTTCATCATTGAAGTCTCCTAAACTACATCCAGTATGAAAATCAATGATAATATACTCTTATCTTAGGGGTTATAATAAACAATCATCCTCACCTAGAAGATTGTGCACTAAAATTTGACATGAGGAACACCTTTGACTTTAGTGGGTTGGAACTCTTTGATAAATATCCTCTTTCCTTGGATTGGCTAATAATTTTATTACTTCAGGTAAATAGTGTATCACCTATCCTTCCTTTTCAATATCACTCAATGAGGAATTACAGGAATACTTTAGAGAGGCAAGGGCTTAAGGTAAGGCGAGAGAGTCACCATTAGTTGACTGATTTTCTCTACAACTAAACAATTAGTGATGTTATGGCCAAAATTTTGTTTCGCCCCAGGTCGCAAGACTAAAAGGTAGATGTTCTTAGATGACCAAACATGTTAATATCAGGTTGCACTTCATTAGAGATGTGATTGCACAGGACGCTATTGCAGTGAGAAAGATTGGAACAGAGAATCTAAGCTCATATAATGACTAAGGTCACTCTCGATTGTCAAGTTCAAACACTATCAAGGGGCTACTTTGGTGTTTGTGTTGCTGAAGCCCTCAGGGGCATGTAAGGTAGAGATTTATGATGTTGTGGTCCAAATCTTATTTCGGCCCAGGTTGCTTGCGACCCACCCGATTTCAACCCAAAAAATGGAAGGTTTTTGTATTGACTCTCTGATACCATGTTAAAAGAAAAATAAAACTTGAAGAGAGAAATAGAAAATGAAGAACAAAAAGATATACGTGGTTGAACCACTACAGCTTACATCCACAATACACAAAGCCCAAAGGGCTACATCTCTTTCATTACATTCTCCCTTGATTTTGTTTACAATAACCACATCTATTTACAGGTGAATTGGGGAAGACTTGTAGTTAAAGAATAGAAATTTCTTGCTTTACAAGTATTTTATACTAAAGGAATTACATAGAAAGTCAAATACAAATATGGCAACAGCTTGTCGCCCAAGTATAGCAATGTTAACATTCTGTCAAAGAGTGATTTAAGGGCTTAAATAACTCTTATAATTATTCTCCAACATTTTTGTTATATATTTACAAGATGAGAGGAGATTAAAAATTTCCCAGACAGTCTTCTCTATTACCTTCTCTTTCAACACTAACTTCAACGCATGTTTTCACTTCTCAAAAAGGATATGGGTGGAGGATAAGACTGCCAAAAGAAAAGAAGAATAGAATTGGCATAGACACCAAAGGTGTGTGACTACGATGTCTTTCTTCACTCAAGACAACTATATAATGTCAGTTGTTGCACAGATAACTACTTTTAGCAATTTATAGAAGCAATATCTCCCATACGATTTTTGAAACAGATCTTAATTGGAAAGAAGTATTAAGGAACTTAATTAGGGTAAATTCTACACAATATTGCAGCAAGTATTGCCCATTTGGGGGGTCCAATACATGAAACATCGCCAATATCACAATTACCTTTTAGCATCTTTCGAATACTTGGGGCGCCCTCGAACAATGTGGAGAAGCTTTCGGGAGTAAAGAGGGAGACACTGGACTTGCTAAAGGCAAAATGAAATCAGTAATTCAAAATAGAACAAGCAAAATTCAAAGGACTAAGATCTAAGAAATTAATGCAACTTACATGCCCAACAACTCAAATTTTCCATCAACAGAAGGAACAATGAAACACTCAAATTGCCCATACTCAGTTGAGTCATGCTTCAGTCCAAGTCACTAGAAAGAAGAATAACAATTATGACCATAAGAATATCAGCATGATCAAATGTTGATGGTCATGAAAGAAAAACTTTTGAGGTTACACATTACGTGAGATGAATGTGCATGGATCCTACTTCATGAATACTAGCTGTTTGCAAAAGAAAGGTAGTCATTTTCCTTCTGTTTTTTGAGGGCCATACAATTATTTCTCTCAACGGAATATCAAATTGCTCATGCTCCAAAGATGAATAATAGAGTTTCTTGAACCATTTAGTATCAGCTCTTCAGACTGGGCTTCTCCAAATCTTAGTGAATTCATGCTCCTTTCTGATTTACCATGTCAAGATCTAAATTATTATTCAGTTCATACATTATACAAGTCCAGACTCAGTTCTCTAGCCCTTCCAGCGCAGGGGAAACACTCAGACTATTTGGAACAGGAGTTCTTACTACAACTAGGATTTATATAACAAGTAACGTGTAGGTTCCCTTCCCACAACTCCTCCTAGTAAACATGTCTAATCAATCACCACTGGTCCCAAGTAATTAGGATGTACTACCACACAAACTTGAGTTATTCAACAAATATTAAAGAAATACTGGCTAATTTTATCTGAATTTTATTGAAAATGAAAGAAACAATTCTTATTGCAAAATTGAGTGTGTTACCCTGGCACTTCCCCAAAACTGGAGCTTCGAAAAGATAACCTTCCAGCTTAAGTAAACTTGATGAAGTACCCATCTGGCCATGGGTCTATATCTTGCATTCTAATAACTTAGCAGCTTATATTGGGGAACAATAGAGCTCTTTCCCTGTTCATAAGAATTATATACAAATATAGACTATTAACAGAAGATGATGATGAAGTATTGATGATGATGATTATTATGATGACACTCAAATGATATTCATTTAAGGATAGCATAAGTTTGTTAATGCTGTTTTCAAGTCTAAAGAAACACAACTAGGAAAATGGATCAGCTGGCCTTTCATCATTTAGTTACGACAAAATAAATAAATGAAAGGAAGGGGTGAGAAGAAACATCTTACAACTATACCCCAATGATGTGCTTGCGCACAAACTGAAAATCCAACATATCCTGTGAAGAGAGAGAGAGAGAGAGAGAGAAATTGAATAAAAAGGACAATTTAAATAATTTTTGGTTCGAAAGAAACAATATCAATCAAAAGAAATTTAAAATGACAAGAAAGAATTTGTACCTGGAATAACTCACTATAATATCTATTTTTACAGGATATAGACCCAACGATCAAGAAAGCGGACCTATAGCTCCTCTTCTTGGTGAATCAGCATTTCTGGAAAGTGCCCATGCGATTTACACACACAAACACATTAAAAAGACAATAATGATTTACTCATTCCTATCAGATATGTCAAATAGATTTAAATAACAAAAAATAAAAAATTACAGAAGAGAGGATATTTACTAGCTTAATGTTGCTGCTTGTAAAATGTATTGTGTAACCGTCTTTGAATTTAGCAATGCGTGCTCCATCTAGTTCTGTGTACCTACCACGTACGAAAATCAACTAAACTTCAACAATGTAAAAATCTAGAAAAAGAAAGAAGATCAAGATTGAGCTTTTATTGACTTCAAAGAATTCAGATTATTAGGCATACCATTGTTGTAAGCATAATCAACACACAGAAACATTTGGGATGTTCGCAATCTTAGGCCAATCTTCCCCTGTTTCCTTATGGCATCTTTTATATAAACTGGGGTGACAATTGTGAAGACTCAGAACTTTTAATGCAGTGAGGCCATGCATCCCCTCAGGCAATGATGCCAATTTGGGACAGCCGTAAATGGAAAGCCGTTTTAGTGATTTGAGATTGCCAATCCAGTAAGGTAAAGCTGTCAAATTTTCACAAATATGTATCTCCAGAGACTGCAGAGAGCTATCATACTGAAAACCCACAGGAAGAGACACCAACATTGGATTTCTTTTTATCGTCAGAGAACTTAGGTTCCGAAGGCCTTGAAATTGAAAGCCATCAGACAAATCAAGCTCTTGGCAGCCATCAATCTCCAGTGACATGAGGGACGTGAGATGTCGTATTCCGTCTGGCAGCGATGTCAATTTGTGGCAATCAAAAATCACAAGTCGTTGAAGTGATTCGAGTTTGCCAATCGAATTTTTTAAAGTAATCAACTCTACACACCTTTCAATGTAAAGAGATTTGAGAGTGGTAACACGTTGAAGGCCCACAGGGAGATGCACCAATTTTGGTATTCTTTTAATCTTCAAAGAAGTTAGGTTCCTAAGGCCTTTGAAATGCATGCCATTATCATCTTCCAGCAAATCAAGCATCGGGCAGTCGTTGATCTCCATCTTCTCAAGCGCTGTGAGATGCCACATCACTTCTGAGAGAGAAGTTAATCTAGGACACCAAGAGATCTCAAGAAACCGGAGAAAAGTGAGGCTTTCAATAGCCCTTTCTGGCAGAATAACTAGATCATCAATGTACTGAATACATAGAGACTTCAATTTGGAAAGAGGAACTTGTGAAGAGAGTGAAGAGGGCAACATTGGGTCCGTTGTTGGAATTGTTGCCGTTGCCATCATTGTGAACTGTTGTTGTACTAGCTTCTCACTGACCCGCATCAATTCTAGTTCTTCAACACATGGATGCAGAGGCATTGATGCCAGCTTGGGACAGTTTTGGATGGCTGATACCGAAAGAGAAGGAAATGCCATTGGTTCTTCTGCTTCACACCTCCACCATCCCTTCAAATTAGTCAAGCCATTGAGTAGAAGTTTTTTCAGGGATGGGAAGAATGTTGCCGTTAGTTCTCGTCCTCCTGTTGATGAAGAGGGTGAAAAAGAAAGTGACTCATCACCACCACCATTAGTACGGCTGCTGTTGTCTATGTATTCTAGGGAAGCCAGCTGAGAAAGTTCAAGAACTTGGAGAAAATGAAGTTGCCCGAACTGTGGAAGTTGTTCGCATCTGGAACAGTCCGCGATAGTAATTTTGACTAAATTTGGGAGGGATAAACCACTACTCATCATCCAACTTGGGAAACTCAAACTCCCATACCCTGTTACTGAAAGCCTCTTCAAATTCGGGTGTGGTTGGAGGCCTTCAAATATTAAAACTAACTCATCATTGGCGTCATCGTCATCATCACCATCACCACCATCACCACCATCATCATCATTGGTCCATTTTAATTGCAGTGACTGAAGGTGTTGTTTCTCCTTCAGAAAGTTTGCTTCCTCGATTTGGGCTTCTTCTGTTGTGCTTGCTGAGCACGGTCGTCCCAATCGTTCAATCGTTAACTATCCCCTTAGACTGGTTAGTCCTTTCAGTTCACTCAAACCACCACTGAGCTTAGAGGCAATGTTGTCTGTGTCCAATACGAAAAGTGTTAATGTTCAAAGAGAAGTCAACTGGCCTAACCCATATGGCATACGAGTCAAACCAATACATCCATCAAGCTCAAGATGCCTAAGGCTAACCAGTTTCCTAGTCTCTTTTGGCAATTCTTCCAGATGACAACAACCAGAGAGTTTTAACGTTTGCAAATTTTGCAACAAAGTAATGGAACTTGGTAGACTCTTTATAGCACAATTTTCAGAAAGATCAAGATACCTCAAATATTGCAGCTTGCTTATGCAACTTGGCACTGTTTTGATCCCCAAGCAATGGAGATCCAACACACGCAACCTTGTTAGCTCTAGTATTTCAGAAACTAAACTGTTTGGCTCACCAAAACCTATACGTTGACCATGCAAAAGAAATGTTCGTATCTTGTTAGCTCTGCGCAAGTTGGCCAGAATATCAATTGATATACCTTCACAGGAAGCAAATGACACATGACGAATTGTTGAAGGAACATCTTTTGCATCTGAATTCAGAACGAAATTCTCTTTTCCTGCAGCAAATCTTGCAAGGTCACTGATAACATCATGCATTTTACAACTTACTATATCACCCCATTCGTCTCTTTCAACATATTGAAAAAAGGACCTCCTTAACAAGTCCTGAAAATACAAATCTCCAACATCTTCCAGATCTGGATTTTTATCCACTGGCTGAATAAGTCCATGAGCAACCCACAACCTTATCAAGTCTTTCTTATAAATTACACGCTCTTTTGGATATAAGGAACAGAATTCGAAGCATCGCTTAAGATACGAGGGAAGATGGTCGTAATTCAACCTCAATATAGGTAAAACAAAAAACCTCTCTTCATTTATTTTTTGCTCAAGGGTTTTGGAAGCCAACAACAACTCATCATCTGCATCTTGAGCGTGTAGTAGGCCTCCTAAAGCCCTTATGGCAAGAGGAAGACCTTGACACATATTTAGAATTTGCTCTTCGATTTCAACTACATGTGGCACAGTATTTTGCTCTTCCCCATGTTGAAATGTGATTTTAAAAAGGGACCATGATGCCTGAAACGGCAAGGGTTCTAAAAGTAATGGTGAAATTGTGGGATACATTGCCACTTTGTATTCACTACAAGTAGTTAGCAATATCTTACTTCCCCTCTCGCCACCCATCAAGAGATCTGATAGCTGTAGCCATAAATCACCTTCTTCATTCCACACATTGTCCAATACAAGCAGGAACCTTTTCCTATCAATTTCTTTCCTAAGGCGATCTTGAATTACTCCATCCATATGATGATGAATTAGTTTTTCAGGTACTTTCCTGCCTGTTGCAGATTCTATCATTTCTTTTGCAATCATTTTCATATCAAAGACATCAGAAAAGCACACCCACATCTTCAGTTCAAAATGATTAGTGACCCGCTCATCACTGTATACTAATTTAGCTAGTGCGGTCTTGCCTACTCCCGCGGTTCCAACTATTGGGATGACCGACACGTCAAATTCACAGTCCACTAGCTTATTTACAATATCCAATTTTTCTTCCTCCCTCCCAATAACTACTTCCTCTTCTTGATCTGCTGCTGCTGCTGGTTGCACAAAAAAAGAAAGTGTTTCCTTTCTATTGTAGTACTCCATCATGTAGTTATTCTCATCACCAACTTGTGTGGATAGAGAAGAGCGTCTTTCATCATGATCTATTTTAGTTAATCGGCTAATATAGATCCTGTTTTCTGCAATGGCACGTAGTACCTTCCTAATGGCCTTAAATTTACGACCCGTCTTAAATCGAAAAACAAGCTGGTTGGAGCTCGAAAAGAAAATGCGTACCTTCTTTGTTCCCCAGTACTTATCCTCCTGAATCATTACTTTGCGCTGCAGAGCTTCAGTGGAGAAGTCATCAACCAAGTCATCGGCATCATAAACTGCAAGAATGAACTTTTCGAGCCACTCACCGATCTCCTCGTTTTCCATTCTCTTCCTGGCTGCATCAGTAAGCACCGGTGTGGTTGTCGAAACTATGCTTCCGAGTTTCTCAAGTGCATCCTTGACGCCCCACTCCACTCCAAGCTCCCTGAGAATCTGAGAAGACAATTTCCCCAGGATTTCAGTGACAATGCTATGAGGAACGGCTTCTAGACGCTGAAAAGCTCCATCAATTTCTTCTTGGTTAGGAACAGGAAGCTGCAGACCTTTCTCACCTAAAGAAAAAGGAAGCAGTGGATGTTCCTTAATCTCCATTTCTGCTTGCTTGCTGGGAGAAATTAAGGATGCTGGTTGCCTTTGAAAAAAACAAGAAATTAAAGATGCTGATCAAAATAGATGCTCTTGAGCTCCTAAAATTAGGTAAGAACCAATACTAGTAGTAAATAGTTTATTTCTTTGTGAAGCTGCACAAAAAGAAGCAGGCATTATTGATGATGATAGAATCAAGTCGAGTCAAGGGAGGTGGGCTTCTAATGTTTGTTTATTTATTTATATTTGTCATGGGTATCTAATGTTTACAAATTTAAAAGACTTTAACAGTGGCAATGATTTGTAAACGATTGAACAACATTTTTCTAAAAAGTGTATATGCTTTTTACTCTCATTTTCTTCTTAAAAATAATATATAAATACCAGCATGCGCATGAAAAAAAGATTATACAATTAAAAACTTGTATTAAAATTCATTTGTTTGCTGCAGATCACAATGGTCGGCCAAATTTTTACATTTCTTCTTTAATTTACTTAATTTTATCAAATTAAACATATATTTTTAACTGATTTGTTTAATGATATTTTCAAAATATTGTTTTTCAATAATACCAATTTAATATGAACAACACGGTGACATAAGTTGTACAACCCAAATTCCCAATTTAATATGAACAGATATAGAAGTTGTATGTATTTTTTGTGCTAAAATATGTACTAATTTAAAAGAGTTCATTACGACAATCATGTGGTCATTTTCGATGTTAATCTTCATCCAACAAAGAACTTTTTTTCAACAGTCTAACAAACGTTGCAGAACTAGAACACAATAAAATAATAATAGAAAAATAAACTACACACCATAGAAGATCTAAAAATTTAAGCGATTCGGGTATAGCCTACATACATTTACTATGCAAAGAAAACAGGAGATTACAAGTTCTCAACCCCCTAACATTTTTCCTTCCTCACTCTATAAAGCAACTTTTAGTATTCTCTCATCCCACACCATAAATCCTAACACCATTATGTATTACATTCGAGAGAGCCTAATATCTGAGTTCACAACCCCACAAATCCTAACACTATTATATATTACATTCAAGAGACTCTAATATCTGAGTTCACAACCAGCAAGACAAAACTGGTTGAAAATATTATTTTCTTAACCGAGTCCCAACCCGAAACAAAATCCAAGCCATCATTTCACATAAATAATATGATCATTTGTTCAGTACGCAATGATACAGTACACAAGAGGGAGTGGAGATTACCTTACAAGAAGTGTTACTTCCTTGTGTTGTAGGAGTATTTCAATGAGTCTCTGACCTCTAAAAATGCAATAACAGACTGCGAAAAAGTTTATGAGAATATGAGGTAAGGACTTCGTCTCCAGTCAACATCTGTGAGAATGTGACACCTGATAAGGTTTTGAAAAAATGAGTAACTTTAAGATCGGTAGTTGCAAACAGCTAGCTTCCAACTTACAAACAATAATTACGAACCCAAACAATAAGGACAAAATTTGACATGACTCATCATCACTTTCAGTATACCTATGAATGAAATCAAAACATACCCCAGTACAAAATCAAGTAATAATCACAAAATTTGACAAGGAATATTAAATTTAATGATTTTAAACTTACAAAAAGATGGATAGCTTTTTAAGCTTTGGCCCAGAAGAACATTTCATAATTCAACATTATCAGAAAAATTATAGTGATAAATCATCAAATATTTAGTTAAGGGTGATTTTGAGCAAACAAAATTATTCAGTTAAAATGGCCATAACACCAAAATGAGACCCACATGAAAGAACCAATAAAGAATAAAGAATAAAAAATTAAAAATTAAAAATTAAAAATTAAAAAGACCAAAGCTCACCCTCTAGTCTTCTTCGGCCCTCTCCACCATGAGCGACCTACTCATCCAGTCGGAGTATCCAGAAAGCTTCGGGGGTGACCCGGTTTGAGAGAGGAAGGTCCCGTCCTCGGCTCGTCATGTCTGCTCGGAAATGGCCTCTCCGTTCTCATCACCGGCGCCGCTGGGTTTGTCGGCATGCATGTCTCTGTCGCACTGAAGCGGCGTGGCGACAGCATTCTTGGCCTCGACGACAATACTCTCCTCCGGCAGGTGGCTTTTGCGGCGTAGGTTAGAGTAAGGTAGGCCGTGGTGGTGGGAGAGTGAATCCTGGATTGAAAAAAAAAAAAATTAGATAATTAGATTACGATCTAAATTCAATAATTCAATTCCTTAACAAATCAGATAGATTTATGTCAATAGGATTGGAATAAATATATATATATATATAAAAGAGTTAAGTGCAAAAAAACAAAAACAAAAAAAAAAAAAAAATCTCTCATTATGTATGCAAAATGTCCAATTACCTCTCTATTGTTTGAAAAAACCCTCTTACTTTTTTCAATTTGTGCATTTATGCCAGATAATGAAAAATCTTAAATTTAATAATAAAATTACTAAATTAATCTTACTTTATCATTAACAAAAAAAAATACAAAATGTCAAAATTATCCATAAAGTCATATATACTTTTTTGGTTTCATGCTTGCCCTGTTTATGTACACTATTCACCACAACACTTCTTAACTAAGTAAGCAATGGTACGTTGTATTCGTGCACAAGTTAAAATTCAAAAAGGAATATGTACGTGTAAGAATTTGTAAATAAAAAATAAACAAGCCCACACAAATAAAAATACTCATAGAATTGATCCAAACTTTTTAATATTGCTTTGACGTGGCCTTCTCTGAATATCATAAGTAATTATCTATCTAATTTTCTCTCTATTTTTCATATATCCATTTTTTATGATTTCTATCTATTTATTTTGAAAATTTTTAACCGGTTTTTAATTTTTTTCTTGATCTTCTTAAACAAGTTGGAATTGGATTGCTGATTTTTTTGAATGGGTCAAACAACGTCTTCCCGGTTGTGCTCTTTACTGGTACTACGAAATTTCTTAAAGCGATTTTGGGTGCTCCGTTTTAGAGATAAAGAAAAAAATGAGAGATACTATCAACACAGAGAAATTTTAGAGAGAAAAAAAAATTAACAGAGAGAGAGATTTTATTTTCTTATAGAAGGAGAGTTTTAGGAATGGAAGTAAAATATATAGAAGTAATAAAATTAGAAAAGAATATTTGTAGGAAAGATTATGTTTCTATATATATATTAAAATAAGTAATATTTAAAAAAATAAAAATGATATACAGGTGGTGGAATCTCACTTCACAAACCAAATGAAATATGGTATCATAATATATATATATATATATATATATATGATGTCTTCTTGGTAACATATTGTTAAACAACAACATAGATACTTTGGAAAGAGGAAAAAGATATTAGGAGTAGAGAGAAGGATTTCCTCAGATAAATCTTCAAGTACATCCAAACAAAATTGGTAGGGGCATTCTTGTTACACAAAAAGGGTATTTTTGGATTTTCAGAAGAAAAAAAAAATGACATCATCAACGGCTACATTTCAACACATTTTTTCAATAGGGCGGCAAATTGCTCAAAATATGGATAATACAGGGAGTTATATGCACTTTTTTTTTTTTTTTTTTTTTTTTTTTCTTCCTACTAGGGGTGTTTTTTGCACATTTTTTATATAGCAAGGGGGTTTATTGCACTTAACCCTATATATAATAATATTTTATATTATATATATATATATATATATATTTATATTAGATGTTAAAAAAAAAAAAAAAAAAACATAATGTATATGTACAATAGTGTGGTGTTTTCACCCACATATTAATAAATCTCCTAATATACATATTAATAATATCATAATATTTATTCACTAACAAAGAGTAAATGATCTTCTTTTTTTTTTTTTTTTTTTTTGTTTTCTATCATTTTTTTCTAATCATTGTTTTTTATTTTCTTTTGACATTAATTTTTTTTTTAATAAAAAAAAAAAAATTCACTTTTATCGGATCGGATCGGATCGAGTAAAATGCTTATCGGGTTTGAATCGGATCAAGCCAAATCCGATCAAAATCCGACCCGTTGACAAGTCTACAAAAGGGTATCAATGAAATGTTATTTGTATGTATTTGGCAAGAAATACACTCACATCCTATTACACTCACACACAATATTTCATTAGGATTAATCCCATTAAAACTATTATATTAAATTTTGGTAACTAAAATCTAATGGAAAATGATACTTGCATCGAATACTCAGGCTCAAAACTCAAGCCGATGGTGATGTGTCACTATAGCCGTACTACACTTAGAAAGATAAAATTTTAAAGGCAAAACTATCCTTACAGAATCCCAATTAGCAAAGAATCTCAATTACTGATAATATCTCTCATCATCCATCTCTATCTCATAGTCAAACTATTCTTTATTTCTTTCTCTCACCCTTTTCTTCATTGCCATCATTGATTCCCGATCATAACCAGGATACACAAATATATCACTTTGCAGTACTTGGTGAGGAGGATTTTCTTCCCCGTTATCTCTGGCGTCACCACAGTTGTCGTCGCCATCAAGTCGCCCAAAAAGACCACTCATTCCTCTTCCATGGTGGCATTCTCTCTCCCCTCTTCAAGTTGATGTAGTTGATGAAGGACCCTCACAAGTGTAGTTAAGGTTGACAAGAATGTAATTTTTGTAAAACTTTTGTATTTTTTGTATTAAAGGGGTAATCATGTAAACTTTGAACCAAACTTGTTATTCTTTTGTAAATGTCTAGACGGCAACGTAAACTATTCTTTTGGAGTATGTAAATATTAACCCTATGCATTATTTTTGTAACAATATGCAATGGATGAATGTTTGGGAATGGTGTGATAGTTAAGGGGTTTTTACGTCATTTTACGTTGGAGAATGTATTCGTAGGATGTGTCCAATCTTCTTTTTATGTTCATGCATATTTTTATATCATTTGGGATAGGTTTCAAACTTGTTTGAGGTCACCTTTGATGCCACAGGTGTATCCGATGCCTTAAGTAACCAGAAAAAGGCCAATTTTCACCTCCCAGGAAGCGTCAGCCGGCTGGTGATATAAGCCAATCGGCTGATGAGCGCTGAAAAGTGAGTATTTAAACCCCTTAAGCTTAGGCATTCTAGTACCTTTATCTATTTTACTTTACCGTTTTAGATTGATTTCGTATTATTTTCATTTTCAGGCACTTATCCCGAACATAAGCTAACTCAGCCAAATAAGAGCTTAATTGAAGCAATTCTGGGATTAAACAAAGAAAGGAGCAAAGTGGAGAAAGAAGGAAGCAAATGACGCCAAAGGTGGGAAGTAGCAAAGTTCGATTGATCCAACTTCAAGGTTCGATCGATCGAACACTGATCGATCTCAGTACTTCAAGATAAATCCAAGCCTTGACCCAAAACAAAAAGTCCAAAGTTCGATCGATCCAACACCACCCTTCGATCGATTGAGCACTTTTGTCCTTATTCAAATGATTGATCTTATTCACAACTGTACCACTCACTCACCACTTTTGTCCTTTTCCCAAAAATATCTTCCAAAATATCTCGGATTTTTCTTTTCCCAAAAAGCTCAACCAGTTGGATCGATCCAGCCTAAGTTTGATGGATCTCAACCAGTTCGATCGATCCAACTCCAAGGTTCGATCAATCGAACTTCCTCCAGTGCGAAAAAGTTAAATTTCCAGCTTGTGCAATCCGTCGTCTATCCAATCATTAGAGAATATTCTTTGCACGACCCAGCTTATTTTTGTGTGTCATTTGACCTACCTATAAAAGGATTATGATGCACTTTTTGAGACATTTACAATTCTAGGGTTTATTCTCTTGAAACAAGCTTAGAGGAGGAGGAGGCTAGAGACATCATTGGAGTTCTTCATCAACAAGGAGCAGATTTTTTCCATGGAGTTAGCTCTTGAGGGTTGGAGCAACATCACCATGAGTGGCTAAACATCCTACTGGGGCTAGAGTTAGCCCCAAGCATACTTTCTATATCTTAATCTTGTGTATTATTGAGGGATTAGTGTTGTACTTAATGTTTTGACACTTTGATATATATAGATCTTGTTTATTCAATGATTTATGTGGTTTAATGCTTCCGATTGATCATTTCATTCTATCCATATGTCTATGTATGCTAGACTAGATGTTCATGTGTTTGCCTCTATTTCTTGTGTTATTGATACATGTCTATGTGTATTGATGCTATAAATTTAGAGATTATCAAAACATAGTGCTTAAAGGAATGCTCTTGTGATTTTCTTGATGGTTCATACTTATTCCTTGATGGATTGTGCCTCTCCCCTAGTTTATTTTCATGCTACTAGGGTAGATGTAGTGTAGATATAGTATAGTTGTAGTGTAGTGTTAAATAGGAGGACAATCCATGCTTGTTGTTTGATGATCTAAGCTTTTGAA